AAATATGCTTCATTGCAGTCGTTGTAGTGCCGTGTAGAAGGTGCATCTCAGAGCTTCCTGATCTGTGTTAGCACATTTGGGCTGCTATAGCAAAATACCAGACTGAGTGGTTTATAAACCACAGAAATCGATTTCTCATCGTTCCGGAGACTGGAAGTCTGAGGTCAGGCAGCATGGTGGGGTAAGGACCCTCTTCAGGTTTGTAGACTTCGCGTTGTGTCCTCCCATGGTGGAAGGGGCAAGGGAGCAGCTCTCCAGGATGTCTTTTCTAAGGGCACTAATCTCATTTATGAGAGCTCCGCCCTCCTGACCTAATCACCTCCCAAAGGTGCCATCTCTTAATACCATCTCCTTGGGCATTACGTTTCAACACACGAATTTGGGGGATCACATTCAGGCCTTAGCACCAGGCTCACCTGGACAGGTGAGGGAAGTTGCTGCAGAACCTAAGGCTTAAACTGAGGCCTGAAGGAGGAATGGACGTTATCAAGAGAAGAGAAGGCTAAGGCTGGCCAGGGATGAACGTGAGTGTGGGCAGACGCTCCGAGCCAGGAAGGACCAAGAGAAGCTCTGGTGTCTCATCTATTGAACCACTTCTGAAGTCTCCAGAGAGCTTCTCCAAGTGTCTATGGGCTGAGTGCACTGAAATCACATGATGTACTGGTTAAATAAAGACGTGTCTTAGTTCCCACGCCAGACATACTAAATCAGCCTCCCTTTCTCTTTTAACAAGTTCCAGCCATTGGAATACACACCCAAGTATGAAAGCCATTGCCCTAAAATCCCACTGCCTGTGCAGATAGCTGGGAGCTCCTGGGTCACCGGTCCTCCCATGTCATTCCAGAGCCAGCCGAGCAGGGGCCCCACTGGGCACTGGTGTGAATTACAGAGCCTAGCAGACTGAGGCACAAAGGTTAGTTACAACATGGGCGCATCTCTCTTCCATATTTTAGCATCTCTGATATTGGGATGCACTTAGAATCCAAAGCAAGAAATAATTTAACTGGCAGCATTTTCTATCATTTTCAGGGTGAAATAAATAATGGTGTATCTTCTAAGTTTGTTGAAATACAGTAGTTGTGTTTCCCCACTTTCCCCAGCCTCTGCTCCCTTGCTTAGCCCAGCATGACCACCCAATCACAACTGAACTCTTCTGCTCCCTCTTAGAGAGAGACCTACCAGGGGGCATAGTCTACACCCTTCAGAATATCTGATGTCATGCTAATTTATATTGCATGAACATTGCTGCCTGCCACAACTTCTTTTCTTGGCATCTTTAAATGTTTTCTTGTGATTTCTGTTTCATTTTTGCCTTTAGTCATGAAGTCTGACCCAAAAAAAAGTGTTTCTAGGCTGCATCTTCTTTATTAGAGATACAAATAAAAATCTCAGTAACCAGAGAAGAGGGTTGAGAAATTTTACTCTGCAACCGATATGAACTGACACAATTAGAAAAGTGTAATACTCATTCAGTTGTAAAACCTGCTGTCTGAACTGCTCTGAGTTAGGTCTGGTTCCCTTGGTAAACTGCAGGGTTTCCAAGGCTGAAGGGGTCCATCTCAGACCACCAGACACTGGCATAGCCCTTCTTGGGGACTTTTTCAGCAAGGACGCTGCTCCATCCATCTCCAGGGCCACTGGCTCGCCCCTTCCGCTGCCCCAGTCTCACCCACCAGTGGCCCTTTCTGCTTCCACCCTGGGGTCTTCTGAAGACTGTTGGGACCCTCAATGTAGGCAGCCCAGAACCCACAGCCTCTGCCTCTGTAGAAGGTGTGGTGAATGTCCATGGGAGAGTGGAGAAGGGTGAACAAAGTCTACTGTTCCCAAGATCCAGAAACTTGGCATCTAGACTCCTGTGTTTGCCAGTCACCTTACACTTTCCTGTTGTGAGTACTGAGGGCACCAATGTGGTAAAATCATTTCCTTCCCTGAAGGTGCATCTCGCAGGAAAGCAAGGGTTTGCATTTGACAGACCCTAAAATTGGTATGCAAAGGTGGTGGCTTAGAGCTGGCCATTTTGGCCTCGTGGTTGCTCCTTCATTAAATGGAAGGCACTATTAAAAACTCTAAACATTTGGAACAACATGCTTAGACTTTGGTGGCACAAAATCTTCAGTGCTACCTGCATGGTTCCCATCACAAAGCTTTCTTCAGAGACTTGGGAGGCACAATAATTTTTCTGTATTGCTGACTGGTAAGCATCCATCCACCCTAGGGCTAATGCCTAGAGGTAGTTTAAGTGTGACAGAGACTGCTGGTTGCCAGTCAGTAATTATCATTACCCTCTTTATTAGTAACTGAACATTTTATTCAGCCCCACAATGGTGCCCAGTTTACAAGTCTACATTTCCCAGTCTCCCTTGCACTTAGTTTGACCATGTGATTAAGTTCCAGCAAATGAAATATAAGCAGAAGAGTGTAGGACTTCCTGGAAGTCTCTTTAAAGGAAACTAACTCATCTGGGTGAAGAATTCTTCCTCCTATCAGCAATCTGGAAAGTGTCCAAGATGGCTGGCACTCTAGCAGCCATTTTGGACCATTAGGTTAACTTGAGGAGGGAAGCCACAACGTGAGGATGCTGGAACAGAAAGATACAAGGCGCCTAGCCCCCCAGTTGCCATAGAGCTAACATGCTAGCCCTAGACTTCCTGCCTCTAGATTCCTTTGAAGTGTGAAAGAAATAAGCTTTCATCTCTTTCATCTTGTTTAACTCATGGCTGTTTGCAATTTTCTAACGTAAGCAGCTGAGCCTAATCCTAACAAATGCATTTAGCATTGTAATCTGTTACCTTTGACTTTCCTGACTCACCAGAGGATCATTCTCTCATTCTTCTGGGGTACAGCAACCTAAGATGAACAGCATGGACTTTGGGGTGTAGCAATAAGTTTGAATCCCTGTTCTGTTGCCAGCTGTATCTGCAAGCAATTATTTATCTCTTCTCTAGCTATTTGTCTTTTGTAAAATGGTGTTCATTAAATTACTTGATGCATATAACATACCTGGCACATAGTAGGAACCCGACAATATTAGTTTCTTTATCTTCACCTTGTCATCATGTTGAGTGTTTGTTTTAAATGCTCCAAAGAAATTCTAGGTAAATGCACATTTGAGTTTATTTCTCCACAAACTGACCCTGCTATCATAACCTTAGAAATACACCAGTGGGGTTAGGCGAGGTAAAAACACCCAGAAATACACCAGTGGGGTTAGGCGAGGTAAAAACACCCAGAAATACACCAGTGGGGTTAGGCGAGGTAAAAACACTGCAGGAAGCCTAGGACAGAGGGAGGTAGCCAAGAGAAAAACACACAAACAAACAAACAAATAAACAAAAACACTGTGAAGGGAGCTTCTGTGCTCAGGAACAAATCTCCTATAGCTCAAGATTGTGTTCTCCAGTTGAATCCAAACCAGAGGCCCATTGGGCCTGGAAGGTCTGCCGCTCAGTTTTCCATGGAGGTGTTGTCCCCCAAATGCTGAGCAATCGGGTGACCGATAGCATTGCCAGCCTGTGAAATACAAGCTGACCACCTGGGCAAAGGTATATGTGTGGGGTAAAGGCTCAGCTGGCAAGACCCAAACATCTCCGAACCTAAGTGCTTTGAAAAGGACCCCAAGCAGCCAAATTGTGAGAAAAACAGCCTGTATAGACAGCGTGGATGAATGCCTTGGGCTGACTGCCAGGCTCATGAACACCCCAGCGCCCTACTCTAACCAAAGAAAAATATGTTTGGGAGAATTCAATACTGTCAGTCTCTTGGCTTCCATAGCTATCACGAGGGGGAGAGAAGCGTGATAAATTATTGGAACGGGGAAGTGGACCACCCTGGTGAAAGAAATAATGGCAGGGCTCCCTACCCTTGCGATAACCTGATTGGTACTCAACCACACACAGTCATAGTGTTCAAATCATTTTTCTCTTGGACCTTTCTGACAGGGCAAAAGGTGCTACGGACTTCCAAATTTTGCCAAAAAAAGTTAATCTTACAGTTGGATGAAACCAGCTAGTTTAGTGCAATCTTTCTTCTCTACTTATGAAGTGCTCTAGAGAGAGTCGGGGAGGTAGACATGGTCACAGCTCATTAATGCAGAGCCAGGCCCAGAACTGGGTCCCCTGATTCCTAGGTGGCATATTTCATCTTATAGCATTAATTGGGTCAAGGGACTTCTTTTCCAGTTATATTTTAATATGTGGATTCAATTATCAACCAACCAGGAATAGCTGTTCCTGTGAAACCCACATCTTAACATGGTCTGAAATTCCAGACTACTGAGAGGGCCCTGGGACACGAGAGCTTTGCGACCTACACATGTGGTGCCAAGGAAGGAACAAGGACAACAGTCTGCAAAAACTAATGGGAAAGAGAAACAGCTTAGATTGGAAAGAAGGAGCAAACATTTTAAAACTCAGAATCAACAGCTTATACGTTTATTAGGCCACCAGCAACAAACTGAGAGCATGGAGGCTATCAAATGTGCCTCTGCTACCAGAACCATGACACTAGAAACAAGGAGATAAATCTTTAAACAAAGACCAAGGCCTGGACATAAAACCTACGTCCATTCCTGTAAGATAAAGGTCTACATTCACTTTCCATGCGCGGAATGCCCACAGTGTGCCCGGGGCTTTTCTATATGCATATTTGATTCTTATGTTCAAGGGGTAAGAGAAGCAGATGGGGAAACAGAGCTGAGGAAGGGACATATGCAAGGCTCCACGCAAGCGATGGAGCCAGAACTCAAGCCCACTCCCCAAACTGACCCTAGGCCTCGTCCCACCATGTCAGCAAGCCTTTGTGGGAGATGCAGAGAGGAGCTTTAACGCCCAGGAAATACTTGCTGGAGATCAAAGGTGCTGGAATTCCTCGGGCCACCAGTCCCTGTACTAGCGACACCATCTGAGCTGCATCCCATGCAGCCTGCTGCCCTCCCCGGGCATAAGCCTTAAAGCTTACAGGGCAGCTCTTGCACCCACAGCCAAAGATGATGGACATAGACATTCATGCAAAAATCTTTATTTGGAACACGTGTGTTACTGAGCAGGTCAGCCATCCTGAAATTGCAAGAGTCTTTACATTGTGCAGAGAAATACAAGCACTCCTTGAAGACGTTCATCTTTGCTTTGCTGCTGGTATTTGTCTTCACCCACCTTCACCTCTCCTCACCTTCATGTCTCTGGCACTGCCTGTTCTGGGGGCGATGACCGCAGCTGGCTGCCAGCCATTACCAGTTGTCTTTTCCTGGTCTTTCCCTCTCTACCTGCTGTAAGTACTAATTAATAGTGCCCAAAGAACTGCTGGGCAGATACAAAGTTTCTGTGGGGTTACAGGGCTGTGTCTTCACGAGATTTTAGAAGCTCTTGTTTTTGCTGGTGGCAGTGGTGTTTTGAGTTGCTTCCACTTTGCTTTCCTGTCAGGCCTGAGTGTGAGGGATCAAATTCCAGCTGACTCAGGTGGGGAGTAAGTGCCTCATTGATTTTTAAATCTGTAGCTTACTGCTTTTCTCCCTGGCCAGGACATATGGTTTTCACGTCTAATTTCTCAACCTGAACTTGCCTTTGTCTCCCTCTTGCTCCGTGACCATGAGTGGCACCTCTCGGCCCTGCCATGGGGCGGGGTAAAGGGAAGCAGGAGAGAGTGCTGACTCTCTGGCACAGCTATTAGCCCCCGTGGGCCTGACTTCCACATGGGAAAGGGGCTAATCTTGTAGGGAGCTTCCTCCTCACCCCCAATCAAGGCATCGGGATGAATGGCAGGACTTGCCTTTGGGTTCACGTTTCAGTCAGAGTCCACAGCACAAGGACCTCTCTGTCCTCTAGTAAATACAGCTGTGACAGGGGCTCTCAAAAGTCAAGGCCAGGAATCTGCAGGCGCTCTGCCCGCCTCGCCACACTGCTGATGAACCCAAGGACTGTTTCAACGGGCAGCTTGCTAGAGTATACCAACCTTTCCAAGAGGCCTCGATCTGAATTACAGTCTTCACCACTCCTTAACGTGCAGGCTAGGGACCATTATTTCTTTAGTGATATTTTATTATCTTCCCCTTCTTCCCTTGGTGGGTCCCAGAGTACACCAACCCACGCTGGAGGGGGGAATGGGGTGGGGGAGGTGGAGTGGGGGGAAGGACCTCCCACCATGTCGACTCTTCAAGGTCACTTGGAATGCGTCTCTTAAAATCTGTCCTGAGTAGCAACTCTCCTCCCTCAAACAGATGTACAGAATCCGAAGTGAAAAACAAAACAGAAAGAAAATGCAAAAATCCCCCAGGCCTGCTCTAATAGCTTCAGATTAAGAAGCACACTCCCACCCCCACTCTACCCCTTAAGCTTCATCTCCCCTGCACAGATGGATCTGGCAGAACAACGGCTCAAACGCTAGAGTAACTGCCTACAAGAATTTAGAAAATTGGAAGTGTTCCTCTAATCTCCTGTATTTAGACAGAGAATTCTGCTGCACTGGTCACTTTCTAAGAGATGCTAACGTGACGCTTAATTGTGTATTACTTAACCATCTTAAACAAAATAACAACAAAAATAGTCAAAAGCACACAAACATAACCTTTGGGGGTCACACATGAAATGGCGGGTTAATCTTCACTTCCATCAGTCCTTTATGTTCAGAGCTGGGGAGGAGCTGTGTCAACAGTGGATCAGCTCATTTTCCCTCAGAAGCCCTCAACGAAGCTGCTATCAAGAGTAAGTCATTTTGCTGCTGCAAAAAGTGGTCAGGGTCTAGTTTCAGAGTGATTGGCGTTTAAGCACTTGAACTTCCATTAACAACAACACTTCACTAACAGTCAAGTGGAATAAGAAAAGTTCCACTGAGAATTTCCACATGATTCAAAACCTCCACCTGTAATTCTGGTATCTCTGTAACACTGGGATCTCAGAGAGTAGATACAGTTTTAAGGGACTTTTCAGAAAGAAATCCAAATTGTTATGCACAACATGGAAAAAAGTTCTGAAGATACAGTCAGGGGCTATGCATCTTCGGGAGGAGTTTTCTGTGGTTTGTAGAAACGTAAGGTTTAAACTGATAATAAAAATATTTGGTTTTCAATCATTCAGAAATTTTCTTCAAAGAAGTCATTAGAGCTATATTACCAACGTTTTCCTCTTCTTTTGCAAATTAAAAAATGCAAATACATTTAATATATAATTGCTCATATAATTTTCAGTCAAAATGGTCAAAATTAGAACTTTTAATTTAATTTTATAAGCCCCAAATGATTAAACACCGAAAGTAAGTCATACATATGAGAAAAACAATGACAAACACAAAATATGAAAAGTTTTTCCCAGCCACAAATAATAATGAAGAGCTTTGTATGTATGAGAAATAGAACTAATAAAAGAATAATTAGCGTTAAGTTCAAAACCTTTGGGAAAGCTATTTTTGATTAGAGACTGTGTTATTTATGCAAGTTTAAAAGTCAAATTTTCAGTTACCCCCCCCCAAAAGCTTTCTATACAGGCTGAAATCTAGAAATTAAGGTTAAAAGTATAAATATTGATCAATTTCAACTAAATTCAGAATCATTTCAGAAAGCTATGATGCAACAATTTAGAATAAAACAAAATAGAAGACTATCATATTTTGGTTTGTGATAAACACAAGGTACAGTAATTTGTTTCTCTTTAGGATCCTTCTATTTCTCTTGAGGAAAACCTAAAATTTGATTCTTTTGATGAAAAGAGTCTTTAGCTGGGATCAAGAAAATTTCAAAGAAAGTCAGAACAGAGTTAAAATACATGCATGTATATATGTGTCTATATCTGTGTCTGCATATGTATATACACACACGTATACCTTCTTTCATTTGCAGTTAAAGAGGGAAGCAAGGACCCCCACAACACCTCCAGGTAACCACCCTCATTTAGTTCTACCAGATGACTTCAGTGACTCATCAACCATAACAGAGTAATTGACCTCTTTCCCACTAAATTTTTCCTGGGAAAAACAGTTTCAGCCATTCCTAGCAGAAACTTGGCCCATCGCATTGTGTTGTGAAAACAAGAGCCTACTATAACTTTTCCTGAGCCAAAATCTGGAAAGAAGTGACTATGAGTAATAGGTAAGAACCAAGACTATAGATAAGTGTATCTGAAAAGATTTTTCAGAATTACTTAGATTCTGTGTTGTTTATTACAGTCCAAATACATTAAGTTCTTATGAAATAAAATCATATGGTACAGATAAAAATGGGCCATAAAAGCCCAGTAAGTCGTTTTGGGACCAAATTATAGACCACCCAACAGTTCACATTTTAGGAATTTGAAATGTCTAAAAATAGCTAAGGTGGTTTCTCAAAAAAAATTTAAAAAAAGAAAAGAAAAAGAAAAAAAAAGGGAGATAATGAAAGAAATAGGGGAGGAGGGAAAGGAAAGAAAGGGAGGGAGAGAGGGAGAGTGGAGGGAAGACAAGAACCACTCAGGAAATATGTTAGCTGATAAGAATACCTTACTTAGAAAGGAGGGACGAATGCATAAAAAAATGCATAAACTTTGTGCAGGTTAATGCAATAGTAAACACAGTAGAATACATAGGCCTCATAATGCTTTTGTACTGGCATATATATAATGTCTCTAGCACTTTTAAAAATATGCAGAGACCAATTAAGGATCATTCTAGATAAAAATACATATTCCTTAAAGGGCAGAGGGTGGGGGTGGGAGGAAAGTATGATTTCAGGGCAGATCCCCACAGATATACAAAAATGAAACTATGCTTTTTGGTAGTTCTTGTGGATGTGGCAGTAAAAATTGTTATAAGGACATTGGCTGGTTTTCAGAGGGTTATTTTCACAAATAACCTTACAGTTACATTTGTAAAAAATTATTTCTGAAAGTTTGATTAACCCTGTAAAATGTCTACATTGACATCTGTTTCTAAGATAAAATAGAAGGAACAGAGGTATGAATGGATAAGGGATATACGCTTAAAGCAGATGTGAACCCTCTCTGGGTCTCTCTCATACAAAGGGATACAGACTCTTAAATAAAATAATACTTCCTTAAAAATCTGCCACCTAACAACTGTTTACATCATAGAAAAATAGCATTTTTGTAAAAAGAAATATAGTTACTTTGTTAAAATGGTCTATTTTAAAACAGTAATTATTTTTCATATAAAGAATTTCTAAACATCCATACAGGAAATAAAAAATAGATAATACTGAGTGCAAAGCAGACAATGGTATGTTTGCAAACGATCAAAGCATTTCATTACCAGATAAATAATACTCTTAGTACATTATAGTACAAGTTTTAATCTTTTAGGAACTTAAAAGATATTGCTTTTATGTTCTGATGGCAAGTTACTTGTAAGTAAAGTTCCTTCCAGCAGCAGAAGGCCAAATTGATTAGAAATGGATCAGATATATTCATTCACATTTCCCTAAACTCAAAGTGCAGAAACACTAGGCAACGGCCTATGTCCCAAGCTCCTTAAAATTAGCATGGAACGCAGGACCTGGAAATGCAAAGGGGAATTTATGACATTCACAGTCCTTTCAAAATCATTCACTGTCTCGTCCATGTCCAAATTGTCAATTGAACCATAATGGCTAATTCCATCATTCAGGAGAGTCTATGTGACTCTTTTCTAAATATAAGTATTAATTCTTCATGCTATAAAAACAGATGGTGTCAACGGACTACTGCTTTATTTCCACAGAGCTACTCTGTAAGGATGACGAGTTTCCTGGTGGTAGTGGTAAAGGATGTCACAGTGCACTAAAAGCCAGCCGTTTCCAGCTGATACCCCAGCAAGCTGGCTGATAGATAAAATCAGACAACGCTCAATTAGCAAATATCATGGGTCCACACTTCACCGGCATCTCATCACACCCTCTCCACTCTGCTAGGGTCATATGAATCTGTAACAAAAAAAAAGACAGAAAAGAAAATTAGTGGGATATTCAACTGGTCTTGTTTACTCCTCACATCATAAATAAATGTTTAGGAAGCAAAATCCGCAAGTGTTTGAAAGCTCATTTTTAGACATTCCAACAATCTTGTCTTCACTATGGCGTAAAAAACCTATCATCAAAAGGCTGCTAATAAAGGAACATGTATGATCATTACCTAATCACAGATGGAAAAATTTGAGTTCCTTAATATGTTGATGGTCCCTTCCTGCTGTTCATAGTGAAATATAATTAAATTTAAATGCAACACTTGTTAGCCAGGAGTGGCTGATGCTAAGGACTGTTTATTTTGTTTTATAAATTTCAACTGTAATGAAAGCTGCTTTACAATGTGCATCTTTGTGATCAAATGTTATCCCTGGAAGGCTTGAGGACCCTGAAATCCTGACTGCTTGGCCTTAATAAGAGGCCTCCTGTGTCCCACCCCCACCAGCCAGCAGATGGTGCTGCCACACGGATCCATTCTATAGCCACCACTGGCAAATCCCACACTGGGCCCAGATGTCCTCGGTTTCCCAAATGGGACACTATACAACAGAACAATAGTCCCAAACTGCCATTAGTGCTGCAGTCCGGTGATGGTAAGCCTGGGATTCACAGATCTCTGGGTCCGGACCAACCTGAAGCTCCTATGTGCGCCCCCTGGGGTCGCAAATTCCTGCCACGGCAGCTCAAAGGTTTCCTGACTTTTTACACAAAACACATAAGAAATCTGGAAGGATGGTACAATTTGATTGTTATAAAAACTATTACAAACATTGTCTTCTCACGTCATCTGGACACAGATTCCAATTTCTCTAGCAGCGTGTCCTCCTCACGCCTTCTCAACTTGGGCACGATACACACACGATCCAATACTACAACTGTGACAACCATGATGGCGTTCAGAGCGCTCTGAGTCATTCATTATAAACCAGATAGGACAGTCTCTGCATTTGGGAAAAGGAGTCTGCTGCTCCTAAAACGTGATTCGCTGCCCAAGTGCCCATCTGGCTAAAGCAAGTGGAGTTCACGTGAGTAGGTGCCTTCTGATATCTTACACATAACATCCCTCAATGGGACAACACAGGATGTTACCAGCTGAGCGCCACGTTTTTAAGCTCAATCAGCCTCACCGTGAGCTGATTCTGAGAGGGGCTGCCGGTGAGCAAAGATGTCTTTTTCTCCACCGAGAATGAGGTGGGACATCACTAATGGATGACACTGCGGAAAGTCCTGGAAAAGGTTGATCTTCTGTTAAGCTTCACGTTACACAGACACGGGGCGCTGACCAGCTCCCTCCTGGCCAGGTACATGGGGTCACCTCCACAGAACAGCCTGCACCCCAGAGTCCCACTGTTGAAGCTACAGGCCCAGAGACAGAGCGGGAAAAGAATCCTGTGGAACAATGGGTCTTCTTCAGATATTGGGGGTCTAGGTCCAATAAAAATATAACATGAGCCCCAAAATGTTATTTTAAACTTTACCATGTTAAAGCAAATAAAACAGGTGAAATTAATTTTAATGATGTATTTTATTTCACCAAATACATCCAAAATATTGTCATTTCAACAGGTAATCAATATCAAAATTATTGAGAAATTTTGGATTTAATTTTTTTTATACTAAGCCTTTGAACTCTGGTGTGTATTTTACACTTACAGCTCATCTCGATTTGGATGAGCCACCTTTCAAGTGCTCAGAAGCCACTGTGTGATATGACAGGCAGGGGGCTACTACACTGGCCAGCCCGGGTCCAGGGAACTGAGAAATTACCCGAGTATTTGGAATCCTGGCTCCTGTGGGCAATATTTTGGGTGAAGACAAATCACTAAGACCTGCCCTGGTGGATAGTTCGTGTATGAATACCCCCAAAAGCTACTGCCCTTGAAGATGTATTCACATCTAGCCTTCTAATGGCATTACGTGGCATCGTGAAACCTTCCCAGAATTCCCCCAGTGCGGCCCTGAGGCAGGTGGTCTCTCCTCGATCTCCCCCGGCACTCACATTGAGAGAGTGGACAATGGAAGTTGATGGAACTGAACACTACCGGTGCCTGGGATTACACTCTGAACTGGAACATAATCGATCCAGTAGAGATGGAGTTCTGTCACCTGAATTAGTCCTGAGCTGCTGATTTCCTAGCCAGAGCGCCAAAACACCACTGAAACGATGTTAGCTGGAATGCCCTTCTTTATGCTGAAATAAAGACACTTTATGATAGGATGCTACAAAACAACAAAGATAATAAAGTTATGGAAGGGTGTGGGAGGGGGGAGTGGTTATAGATAAACACAAACACGGTATATTCTTATCTTAAAATTCCAGAATGAAATCTGAATTTAAGTGGGCTGTGCATTCAGGAGCAGTGAAGTGGCTCTGGCACATTAGGGTGACAAAGGCAGGGGTGAGATGGAGATGGGGATGAAGATTCTTGTGGTTAAAATGATGAAATATATCAAGAGAAAACCAAAGTCCAAAAGTATATCAGCTACAAAGCTACAAGGGCTTTATTCCAATTTGTGAAGCAACAGTGAGTAGAAAACTTAACATATGTTAGAAGTTTTACTGCCTCAGGCATATGACCTCTCTAAAGGACTCATTTGAATATTAAGGCCTGGCGGCTGTCATAGGAAAGGCCAATGGAGGTGCACTTGGGCCACTGCACGTGTAAGAAATCTTCCCTCGAAGGCGCGCTACCAGGCAATTACTTAATGCCTGAGGTAGTCGGGGTCATCATGAGTGGCTCTCCACCTTCAGTTTTTTGGTCACTGCATTGTCAAATTAACAAACGCATTAGAAGGAAAGGAGAAAAAAATTTCTCTCTGTAAGTATGGTTTAAAAAAATAAAAGAACAATAAGGTCATTGAGGAGGTGTTTTTAATGGCTGACTAAAATTAAAATTGACATTCTGTAGGTGTTCTCAGATACCTATCCCACCCCATTCATGTGCCAAATGGTCAGGCTAATAATTGAGGGCTTGCTTTATTGAACTAGAAATTCTATACTGTCAAATACTACATAAAATGTGTGGCCATGGACTGAGATATAGAACTCTTTACAAACTGGTGTTTTATTTTAACAGGATTTGTCTTATTTTAAAGTCCTTATAATTCTCATGATAAGGTTAGGACTGATAAAATCATCTTGAATTTACAGATAAAGAAGCTCACTGTAAAAGCCTATGATGTCTTTTTAGCTAGCACTTAAAATCAAGTAGGCATATTTGGGGGTGAGGGGAGCAGGGGAAGAGGAATCGTGCTGAAACCTAATAAATCTCCACAGCTCCAAAAATGGGCAGTGTAACACTCTTTCACCATAATGGCAAAGGTTCCATATTCTTAGCATGCTCATCCTCAGCAAAACCACATTTGTCAAGTGAGATGATCCCCAAGAGGGCCCTGAAAAATTGGTTATTTCAATAATGTAGTATTTTGCATAAGGAACAGAGCAACATTGGCTAACACTCCTAAGAGTCATACTGCATTTCTGGGAAAATTTAAGAAGTGCTAAGTATATTTTTTTGTTTAACAAAAATTTCTGAATTCTTCCAGCTGAAACAAGCAATCATTTCCATCTATTTTTAAATCCTTGGGTTTCATCCTCATTTATATGGTCAGTCACTCTACGACAAAGGAGGCAAGACTATACAATGGGGTAAAAACAGTCTCTTCCATCAGTGGTGTTAGGAAAACTGGACAGATAACATGCAAAAAATGAAACTGGATCACCTTCTTACACCATGTATAAGAATAAACTCAAAATGAATTAAAGACTTAAATGTAAAACCTGAAACCATAAAACTCCTAGAAGAAAACATAGGCAGTAAACTCTTTGACATTTTACGGTTTTAGCAATATCTTTTTGGATATGGCTCCTGGGGCAAGCGCAACACAAGAAAAGTAAACAAATGGCATTACATCAAACTAAAACATTTTTGCACAGCCAAAGAAACCATCAACAAGAGGAAAAGACGACGCACTGAGCAGATATTCACAAATGATACATTCAATAAGGGGTTACTATCAAAATATATAAGAAACTCATATATTTAACTTAAATATAAACTCATATATAAACTTAACAACAAAGAAATCAATCTAATTAAAAAATGGGCAGAGGACCAGAATAGACATTTCTCGAAACACAGCATACAAATGACCAACAGACATATGAAAAGATGCTCACCGTCACTAATCATCAGAGAAATGCAAATAAAAACCACAATGAGATACCACCTCACTCCTATCAGAATGGCCATCATCAATAAATCAACAAACAAGTGTTGGCAAAGATGTGGGGAAAAGGGGAACCCTGGTGCACTGTTGGTGGGATTGTAAACTGGTGCAGGCACTGTGGAAAACAGATTGGAGGTTCCTCAAAAAATTAAAAACAGAACTACCTTATGACCCAGCAATTCCACTTCTGGGATTTATCTGAAGAAAACGAAAACACTAATTCAAAAAGATACATGCACCACTATCTTCAATACAGCATTATTTACAATAGCCAATATAGAAGCAACATAGGCGTCAATCGATAGATGAATAAAGAACATGTGATGTATATTATATCTATCTATCTATCTATCTATCTATCTATCTATCTATATATACATATCACAGAATATTATTCAGCAATAAAAAAGAATGAAATCTTGTCACCTGTGACAACATGGATGACCTAGAAGGTATTATGCTAAGTGAAATAAGTCAGAGAAAAACAAATACCATATGATCTCGTTTATATGTGGAAGCTGAAAACAAAAACAAAGGAATAAACAGAACAGAAACAGAGCCATAGATATAAAAAACAAACTGAAGGTTGCCAAAGGGAAGGGGGTGAGGGGAGGGGTGAAATAAATAAATAAATAAGAATCACCACAAAGTTCAAACCTATTTTGAAGCAAGTCAGAGGAAGTTGAAAGAAATACAGACATTCTGAACTCTGAAAATGGAGATGTTTAGATGACTTCCGTCCTCATGGAAAAAGGAAATAGATAAATAAATCAATCCATCCTTGGATTTCAAAATAGGAAACAGAGCAGCAGGCAGGGGACCACCCTGCTGGGACAGCACAGGAAGACGGAAGAGCCAGCCTGGCTCAGGAGATGAGGCTGGGGTCTGAGGGCAGTGCTCTAACACCTCAGGGGGGCAGTTTTCCCCTTATTGTAAAAAGGTCTGAATTAATGACTTAAGGTCTCTTCCAGTCTGTGATTTATGATGTGTACCTTTCGGTAAGAACCTCAACTCTTCTTTTAATCATTTCTATGATATATATAATTGATAATCCCCAGTCCCTGAAGAAAGCGCCTAAAACAGGAATGCCGAGAGTTCTCCTGGCCTGTTTGTGTCAGAGCTGAGATGGTGAAATTGGATTTGGGGAAAAGCACTGTTACTGTCATTGGGAACCTGCCTTGTGGCTTTATAAATCGGAGAAGGCTCTTGAAGACAGGTTAAGGTGAGAGGATGGAGAGGGCTCAGAGGCCTGAGGGATGCTGTTGGCAAAACCATCTCACCTGGGATTTCGAAGTCAGAACTTAGAGAACTTTAAGAAACAGAGTTAATGAGTGAACTTTTTAGGGGTGGCGTGTCCAAAAAGTTAATTTTTACTAAAGTTTCATAAATGGTGTGGTAGTGGAAACAGATAAAAATGAGGGGCAAAGGATTTTGGAAGATGAAAATGGGAGACATAGCATCATGGGGCAGGTAGTTTTTTTAATCAACTCGGTATATCTTTCCTTACTAGGTTAAGAAGAAGCAATGAGGGTTATGTGGGTGAATGCTTGTTAGTTTAGGAGAGAGTATGGAGCACAAATGTTATGGTCTCCTACAAGATTTATCAAGGTGCCTACACCAAAGATGCAATGCTTTATTGATTCACCTCTTCACAGCATGGGAGCCAAAAAGTTGTTTATACGGATAATTTCGTATAGTTGTTTACATTGATCATTTTTATAAAGACATAGTCATTTAAAATACACTACAAGATCTTGATTTTTAAGGAAAGCTTCTAGATAATTCTTTGTAAAATGATGAATCGTTTGGTACAATAATTCACAAGGTGAACTTGATCTATTCTGAATATGCGGAATTTCATTATCCATCAGACTGGTATTTTTTTATGCCCCAAGGACACCAAGTTAATACTGATCATCTGCCTGCTTGCCTGATTCCTCACCTGGGCACCAGAAGTCGTGATCCACGGTCCTCTTCTCCCTGCCTGCTGCCAGGTGCTTGTTTTCTTCCCAGAAGAGGGCACCCTTGGAGACAGAGAGCCCATCTCCCTCCTTCCAGGCCAGGTCTTCGGTGGTCAGGGACACCAGGCCTCCAGGCGGAGCCCCTGGACCCCTCTCCTCCATGGAGTCCGTGCTCCGGGAGCTCAGCAGCCTCATCCGAGACACAGAGCTCACCTCTTTCATCCTCATCAGGCGGTCAGGGTCAGCTCTCCGGGGCGGAGAAGCCAGTTTCTCCTGTAAACTTTCAATCACTTTGGAAGTGTTTCTCAGCTTCTGTGAGACGGCCACACTTGGAGTCCTTTCTATAAAATGGAACAAAGTGGACCTGAAGGGTGCTTTTTTTGTCCCTCCGTCCTTGTGATTGAAGGGCTTGGACTCCTGGGTGCTAGGGTGAGGCTCGGGGTTGGGGGCCTCGCTGGGGCTGGCTCCGTCCACACCTGAGCATTCAGACGCCCAGGGAGCCCGTCGGGCACTGTCCCTGTCCCCTACAAAGAGAGGGCTTTCAGTCCAGCCACACTTTCTCCTGCCATAAAAGGCATCAGTGGACACCGTGGGGTTATCCGGCTGCACTGGATTGGACACCGGCTCCTCTGTGGGGGACGCTGGCCTGCGGGCACTGCCATCAGGCTCGGGGGGACGGCTCTGTCCTGTTCTCCTGGTGCCTGGCAGCAGGGACTCCACGGCCACGTCGATGCCCAGGATCCTCACAGCCCTCGCTTGAAGGGATTCGTTTGGGGGGATTTCTATGGCACTCGCTTCACCTGAAGACCCATCTAACTTATCGGCACTCTGCTCTCGTGCCGGGGTCAGCCCCACAGACCTCAAGTCGGGTGCAGAGAGTCCTCGGGGTTTGCCAGCAAGAGAGAGGCGGACCACCGTGTCCCTCTCCTCCCCACCGCCGGGCTTCAGAGGGGTCCCCGCTTTGCTCAGCTCCACAGAACTTGGAACACTGGGGAGCTCCCGCCTTCCCTGGGGCTCCCTCAGTTCAGCTGGGTCAGACACTGGTTTTGTGTCACCTGACCTAGAAGACGTGATTCTTTTCACAGGACCTGGGCTGACCGCTAGCTCCTTCATTCTTTTCTTGATCTCCTGGTGTTGCTTCTCTGGAATCAAGCTGCCATGTGTTGACAGCAACACTTCACCTCTGCCATCCTCCGCCTGTGAGGGGCCGCCCGGGGATTGAGGACGGGCACCCAGGTGGTGGGTGGCAGGCTTCTGCTCGTCACTCCAACTCTCAGACTTACTCTTAACTCTTCCCGACCTGCACGCGAGCTCCTCCGGCACCAACCGCCTTGGCGATTCCTCGGCTCTCCTTTCATGGCTGTCTTCCCTGAAGCCCATATTACTGGGTGTGGAGTAAGCAGCGCTTTGCAGCTGCCATTCTGTCTCACTGTCGTCGCTGCGAGTGCTGCTATGACTGCTCTCTTCCTCTTCCTGAAGCTCCTTGTTAAAACTTTCTAACTGACTTATCAAATCCCAGGGACGTCGGCTAACGGGTTTTAAAAGAAACTGACCAAACAGCTGTTGACTGTTGCATGGGCCTGTGGTTGCCCCCTTCACCACCTCGCCTTTGGGCACGGGGCTGGCTCCGTGTCCGTGGCCGTCCACACAGGCCTGACTCTGGCCCACCTTTGGTACAGGGGCCTGGTTCGTGGATGAGGAAGTCCTTGAAAAAGCACTGTAGCTGGAAGGGTTGAGGGACAGTTGGCCTTTGAGGTGGTGAGCATTTGGCCTTTGGTTTTGGTCACTGGACACTAACACCATGTGCATCTGAGCTTCCGAGGCAGTAGGGTCTAGAAATTTTGGAGTCAGCAGAGCATTCGGTGACCATCCCGACTTCTCATCAGGGAGGGGCTGCAGGCTTTTGGATTCCTCAGTGAAAGTGGTTTGTGTTTGCTGATCTCTGTAGTGGTGCCCTGGCCACGAGCCAGAATACTTGAGCTCTCTGTGTTTCATAGGGTGAATGAAGCTGAGGTCATCTGTTTGTTTGTCTTCTGGTTCCCCCAGATCTTGTTTTTGGAGCTCTGTCCTCCCAGCCATGCTTCCTGTGAGAGCTTGCAGCTCCAGGTCGGTGGAAGACGTGCTCAGCAGGCTCTGCTCCTGCAGAGCTGCGCCCTTATCAAGCCCATGCTTTTTATCAGCGCTCTGTTTTAAGTCATTGTTGTTGGTATCTATATCTGGCAGATGTGATCCTGATTTAACTGGGATGGAAACCAAACAAAATATCGTCTCGTTCATTTTTTTCTTTGAACTTTTCTTGGTCTGAATCCCAGTCTCAAACTTTCTGAGCTTGGTTCGGGTTTCGCAGGTACTCTCGCCCTGTGGGTGTGGGGATGAGGCTTGGCTTTCTGCTTGTCCATGCTGGCTGCTGCTCACGTCAGGCCACTGTCCTCTCATCACACAGTGGTCTCTTTGGTCAGAAAAGCCACCATTTTCTCCATCCCTGGGGAGCTGGCCCCATGGCCACAGAGGACTGGGATTGGCAAGGGCAGGGCCTTTCTCGTTCCCTGATGGGGGTATCATGCTCTGTGGGTTCAAAGTGGCACCATCATGGTACATGTATCCATGAGCTGGCTCTGGGGCAGAGGCCGAACCAGGGTTGTACAAGTTCTCATCCGCCTTTATTTCTTCACAGAAACCCTGGGGTTGGGCCAGTTTAATATGTCGTATCCGTGGGTCGTCAAAGGGAATATACAGAACAGAGCCGTCATAAGCAGTGGTGGGACGGGGCTGTTGAGGGAATCTTCGAGGAGAGCGTGGGCTTGCATCGTACTCACTCCCACTCCCAAGGGAGCCAGAAGGGAGCTGAGAGCTGGCCGTGGCCTCCTCAGTCGGATGATGGCGATCACCACACACAGGCCTGGGCTCCAAATCCTCCAGGTAGGGGTTTGTGATGTGCTGGGGTGGCGACCTGTACGATGGCGGAGGCACGTACACTGGCGGCTCCAAACCAGAGTCAGGCAGGCAGAGCTCCTGCCTGAAGTCGTTAGTTTTGGTCAAGTAGGAGAAACTCAGGTCTGTCTGTGGGCTGTCTAGATAGCTGCTGTTTTCCACTCCTCCCCTGGAGTGTTGGTGGGAGTCGTAGGAGGGAGGCTTGAGGGGTCTCCCAAACTTTGGCCGGGAAAAAGGGACTGAGGAACCACCCTTCTCAGGGTTTCTTGAAGATTCCAAATTTGGTGCACCATTTGAAGGGTAAAATGGCATTTTAGGGACACCTGGTAAATGTCCATCACTTAACGGAATTTCCATGCAACTCAGACTCTCAGGAGAGAGAACTCTAGGCAACGACTGGGACTTCCCTTTGCTTTGGGAATTCAGCACATGTTCTCCTCGCATGAATGGGTATAGATCTTGAAACAGCTTCTCCCTGTCACCATCAGACATCTGCCTCCCTAATTTCTTTGGCTGGTTCCAGCTTTCCAGGCTCACATTCTGCCACTTGGCAGGACCCTCTATTCTTAGCTCTTCTTCCCAAACTGCCTTCTTCATCACATGCTCTGTCCTTCCTCCAACTTCCCATGCACCCTCCCTTGTGTAGACGGGCAGACTGTGGGCTTGGGCCATTCCTCTGACCTCCAGGTCTTCTCGGTCCCGTGGACGCAACAAGCCACTGACCTCGTGTCCTCTTCTCCAATAGGCGTGGTTGTGGCTGCTCTGGGGCTGAGAGGACCATGCTAGCATGGGCTGATGATAAAACCTACAACACAAAGAGGCATGGAAATTACACCAAGGGAGCGAGCATACAGAAAAAGCATGCAATTCTCTGCTTCTGTGACTGGTGTTTCAAGTCAAACGCAGGTCAGTGCTTTTGAAAAATAGATTCTCAACCAGCGTACTTGTCGACTTTAAAGAAAACACATCCCACTAATTATGGCTGGAAGGCAGCCAGCCATGTGTTTTGCCATCCAAGGGCCTAGGAGTGGCAGCAACAGGCTGCCCACAAGAACATTAGGACACGGCTGTACTTGGGAGATGTCAAGGCCCTTAAAACTTTGAATGCCCAAGAGGGCAAGGGTAAACCCGAGAGCAATGCTTCTCAAGTGTAGTCTTGGGACACTGGGAGTCCATTCCCAGCTCAGCCCAGGCCACTGAGCTCTCAAGGAGCGAGTCTGAGAACCTGCTTTTCACAACCCCACCCCATAGCAGTGGTTCTTAAACTTTAGTGTGTGCAGGAATCACGAGAGGGTTGCTAAGGCACAGACTGCTGGGTCCCATCCCCAGTTCCAAAGCAGGACTGGGTGGGGCTCCACAATGTGCATTTTTTACTATTATATAAGTTTCAGGTGTGCAAAATTATAATTTGACATCTGTACATACTACAAAGTGATCACCCCCAAAAGTCTAATTATTATTATCCATCACCATACAATTCATTCCTTTCCCCGCTTTTGCTCTTCCCCAAGCCCCTGCCCCTCTGGTAAACACCAATCTGTTCCCTGTACCTATGACTTTGCTTTTGTTTTGTTTGTACATTTAAACAGTGGAATACTCAGCCATTAAATACTCATCCATTAAAAACAATGAAATCTTGCCATTTGTGACAACATGGATGAAACTTGATGGTGTTATTCTAAGTGAAATAAGTAAGACAGAGAAAGACAAATACCATATGATTTCACTCGTGTGTGGAACATAATATGCATTTCTAACAGGTCCCCAGGTGATGCTCATGCTGCTGATCCCCGCACCCCACTTTGAGAACCATCATTGCTGGTGGCTGTCAACCATGACTGCACATTGGCACCCAGAGGGACTTCACAGCTCCCGATGCCCCGCCAGTGTCCTAGCTCCACCATGTCAGAATCATGGAGGCAGGGGTGGACCAGGCATCAGAGTTTTCCCAGGTACCCAGCAATTCCCAGTGTGCGCCTGAGACAGAACCACAGCCTAGCAGGGTTCCCACAATTCCCTGATGGTAAGAATCACCAGTGGGTCATTAAAGACACATATTAGCAAGTCTCTCCCCCTGGAAGTCAGCTTCAGTAGGTCTGGGTTAGGGTCGAGGTGGCTGTATTTTTAACAAGCACTCCAGGGGAGTCTTGCCTACAGACGATGTAGGAAATACTTCCAAGGCACTGACCAGAGGAATAGGGGGCTCTGTTCACAAGAAGAACTCTCTGCCGGGCAGGAGATAGCAGTAATGCTATGCTATGCAATGCTATGCTATGCTATGCTATGCTATATGCTATGCTATGCTATGCTATATGCTATATGCTATGCTATGCTATGCTATGCTATGCTATGCTATGCTATGCTATGCTATGCTATAGTACAAATGCCAGCCTAGTTCCAGGTTGCTGTTCACCACCTGGCTGCCTCTTAGAAGTTCCACATGAGCCTTTAAAAACTACCAGTGCCCAGGGCCTATCCCAAATATTTGGATCTAATCCATCTAGCGAGGAGCCAAACACCAGTGGATTTCAATCTCCTCAAATGAGCATGTACCCAGAGTTAGAAACACTGTTCTAATGCAGCTAAAGAAAGAATCTAATCAACACTTACACTGTGCAGAAATGTTAAGCCTACAAATGACCAGAGGTTAGGACTTGAACACAGAAAAACCATTAACTGGAAGGAGGCTTGGAGCATTCAACGATTCTGATTAACCATGTGCCAAGCAGACAGTTTCAACTCTAACACTTAATTATGCTTTTTAAATTAATTTTAATTTAAATTAATAATGCTTTTTAAATTATAAAAGTATTATGTGTTTGGTATTGAAAATTTAGAAAAATATAGGAAAGTACAGAAACCAAAAATCACTTATAATTTTTCTACTCAGAGATACTTATTTTGATATATATCTTCTAGTCTGTGTGTGGGTGTGGAGGGGGATGTGGATTTTCAAATAGCCTTAGTATTCTGCTAGGGGCTTGGTTTTACATGAACATTTCCCACACTTATAGTACAAACAACTGACACTTACCTAGTAGTTACAATGTGCTAGGTCCACACTAAGTGTTTTTCATATAGGAACTCATTTAAGCTTCACCAGCACCCCTCTGAGGTAGGGGCTGCTGTCATTCCCATTTTACAAAGGAGGAAACTGAGGCACAGAAATTAGGTAACTTGCTTAACATTAACATTTACTGGGTGCTCTGCTGTGTCAGGCACTGTGCAAAGCACGCTAAATGAATTCTTTCATTAATTTTACAACCACTATTATTTCTCTCTTTTACAGATAAAGAAACAGAGGCACAGAGAGGTTAAACAATTATCTCAAGTCATACAGCTTGTAAGGAACAGTGGGAAAAGAATTAAAACTCAAGTAGTGTGACCATAATGCCCATTTAGTTAGCCGCTCTGTTTTACTTCTTCCAGTGTAATGAAAATTTACTCAAGTGTGTAATTTTAATAGAATTAAAATTTAAGTGAATAAATTTAATGTACATATTCTATCATATGTACTTGATTTAGTTAACCATTTATACCACTGTTGGACATCTATGTAGATTATATCCTAGAACACTTTGAAGAACACTATTGTTTACAAACACCAAGCATGTCTCAGGTTGTTTAGAATAAATCCTCACAAAAGGAATTATTGGGTTGTCGGAAAAGTCATGATGTATTTTGTCTGTGTTTTTCAAAGGTCATTTATTTATATAAAGAACAAAGATCAATCATTGATATATTGCCTATTTTGTTCGATAACCTTTTGCCATCTTTTAGTGAGCTTCATAATTCCTCATTCATAGAAGGATCTGTTTTTATTTGCGAAAAACTGAACAAGGTGCTGATTTATAGCCTCATCTGAATTGAACGTTATACCACGCAAGGAGTTTTAAAGAGAGCAAAACAAGTGAAAGTCTGACAGCACAAGGTCAGGCGAGTATGGTGGGTGTGGCAACACATCCCATCCAAGCTCCAATAATTTCTGATGGGTGATCAAACTTGTGTGTGGTCTTGCGTTGTCACAATGGGACACAACTCCTTTACAATTAACAAGCTCTGGACATTTCTGGATGATGGATTCGTTCAAACTGTCCAATTGCCGACAGTACACATTCGAATTGATTGTTTGGTTCCTTGGTAGAAGCTTGAAAAACACGACACCTTTAAAAGCCCACCACACTGTGTGCATAACCTTCCTCTGATGAATGCCTGCTTTCGATGTCGTTTGAGATGAATCATCAGGTCAAGAACAAGGCCGTTTGTGCACCACATTGTTGTAAACAATCCACTTCTCATCACCAGTTATCAGTCACTTCAAAACAGGATCGTTTTCTGAGGGTTACTAGTTGGGAGTGGGTGGGGATGAAGGAGAAGGGGAAGGGACGAGACAATACAAATTGGTAACTACAATATGGCCTCAGGGATAGAAAAGACAGCCTGGGAAATATAATCAATAATGTTGTAAATATTTTGTAGGGTGTCAGATGGACTCATGTCTTGTTAGGGAGACCACTTCATAGACGGTGTAGAGGCCTGACCTCCACACTGTATTTCTGAAGCTGATGTTGAATAATATTGTATGTCAACTATAATTATATATAGTCATGGGATGTGGAGTAGAGTGTGGGAATGGAGTCAATGGAATTGTAATAGATATGTATGATATCAGGGGTGGGAGGGCAGTGGATGGAAGGAGGGTTTTTTTTTTGTATGAGGGGTGAAAAGGATAATTATCGCATTGTTCTGTACACCTGAAACTAATAATAAAAAAAGGATTGTTTTCCTCACGTTTAATGAGCATATTCCAGATGTTTATATGTGCTGTCAAATGAACTTCTTTGAGTTCATGCAGAACCCACATATCGAGCTTGCTTACGTATCCCAGCTTCTTCAGGTGGCTGTGAACGCTTGAATGATGGATGTTCAATGTTTCTGCAATCTCTCGTGTCGTGTAACGTGGGTTTGACTCGATCAATGCCTTTATTTTGTCGTCATCAATGTCGGTGGGCCTCCCTGACCGAGGAGCATTGTTGAGATCAAAATCGCCAGTATGGAATTTCGTGAATCATTGTTGGCACTGACATTCTTGTAGAGCACTGTCACCGTAAACTTTATGCAACTTTTCACAAGCTTGATGCATGTTCTTCCCTTTATGGAAGTAAAATAGTAAAATAGGGCAGAAACACACAGTTTGGTCTTCCATCTTCAACTTGTAAAATCTCCAAAACTCAACCAAATTGCTCAATTTTTGTTTTAGAATGAAGCTAGAACTGTCAGCTGTCAAATGACATAGCAATAACATAGATGTGAATGACTCTAGTACTTCCAAAAATGAACTAGTGCCATCTGTCGCAAACATGCATCATGACTTTTCTGACAACCCTATAGTAGAGGTGGCCGGTTAGCTCAGTTTGTTAGAGCACAGTGCTCATAACACTAAGGTTGCCGTTCGATCCCCACATGGGCCACCGAGCTGCGCCCCCCCCACAACTATTGGGTTGTTGGAAAAGTCATGACGCAGTTTTGCAACAAAAAACATAGAAAAAAAATACATCATGACTTTTCCGACAACCCAATAGATTGAAACAACTACTTGACCAGGAACTGATGGGTCCTGGAAAAACACACTGTTCCCCAAAAAATTAAAAACAAAAACAAAACCCTCTTAAAAAAAAGAAAGGAATTAGTAGATGGGGGGCATTCTGTTATCCATGCTGTCAAACCTGACTTTAGATCAGCCATTCCAATCCATACTCCCAGCTGTAGTGCGGAGGAGAGCTGGTCTTGCTAAACTAAACCTTT